TAAAATTTTTATGTCCGATTGATAATTTTATAAGTTTCAACCGGCTGCATTCGACATCTGAAATGGCCACTCTTCTGTTTCTATACGACAGCAAATAATTATCTCTGAAAAATCACTTCGATGCAGCATCGACGATGCTCGTATTAGCCTAATTGTCCAAAGACTAAAAATATCATTATACAGATAAATGCAAACATATAATATTTTATTATCCAAATTTGAAAAGTCTTCTTCAAATAACTTTTTTTTGAAGTAAAACTCCTTTACGCGCGACTAGAGTGTAAATTCGTACAAATGCAACGGAAATGCGTTACGGCAGAACTGTGCGTCATTCGCTTTCGATGAAATCATTTCTATACGGGTCGATTCTGATTAGTTACATCGTAGTACAAAACTTGATTTAATGAAAAATGCCTGAATAAAAAGAATATTTCATCCTGTTCCTTGAAAATATTGATTAATAAGATTAATGATTTAAGTTTATTGATTAGAAATTATTTCTATATTATTCGTAGATTCTATAAATCTTTGAAGTTATTAATTGGGAAAAAATTTTTAGGCAAGACAAATATTACAGCTCTTCAAAGAATGAGATTATATCGCCAGCGAAAAAGTAAAAAAATACAAGCAGTCAATGAATGTATGATAATTTTAATTACATGAAGTTCTTCAAGCACAATTGTTTGATGAGGAAAGTTGCGAAAACAATATTTATTTAGGCGTTGTTTAATATAATCCACTGTGTAAACGAATGGTATGAAGTATGGCTTTAATTACATGTGTATAATTAAGGTGACCATATTTTTTTGCATTAAATCCGGGTCTGATTAGAATATGTGTGAGAGCGGGCGGAGGGGGGGAGGGGTGTTGGTGAGCTAAAAACTTATATGCACATTTTTTCGGTTCAAATTTTCTAGTTTATATATATATATATATATATATATATATATATATATATGATTTATTGGCTTTATAAGCTAGTACATTAGCCATATACTAAAATTTTCTAGTTGAAATATATTTAAAAATATATTGGCAATCAAAACATTTTTAAAAATCCGGGAGAATCCGAGACAAAACACCTAAAACCGGGACAAATATTGCTTTTAGAAAAAGCCGGGACGCAAGGCGGAAAATCGAGGCTGTCCCGGCTAATCCAGGAAATATAATGGTTCACCTTAGTATAATGATTGACACTAATAAATGTGTGCACCACGAGTGTTACCATATTACTAATAAACTTAATTCAAAATGGTTATATGATGTATATATTTTTACTTAAATGCCATCTTGTATAGTAGCAAAGAAGTTTTACTTCAATCGCGTGTGAACCCTTCGCGCACTCTTTTTTTTTAATTGCCCTAATACAACTTACCTTAGAAAGGCAATTAGTAAATTGTAGAAATATAAATTAAGGCTTTAAAAATACAGAATCATATGACCATCGACAGTGACAAAGGTCAATATAGAATAAATTTCCTTTGTAATCTAGATCTGATAGAGTTCAGGCGGTGTTCTCTGGTAAGTGAGAATGGATGATTTTCGAGACGACTTTTGTTTGATTGAGGTAAAATTTCATCCTCTACTGAGCTGATGTCCGTATCTTTATATCGGTGATCAACTAATTTGGAACATACTTTAATGCATTCAAAATTTCTCATAACAATTTATCATGACATCTTTGAATTTATGGTACCTTTTATTTAGAGGTTGATCCCATAGTTGAATGCCGTATGCCTAAATTGGTTCAATTATGACTTGCCCACATGCAGCTCTATGATCTATGCGCCTGTAAAAATTATTACAGTTTAAGTGAATTTATAATTAATTTTTATATTAAATAAGTTGTAAATTACAACACATTATCAAGAGCCATTTGATATAGCTTATTGTAAATAAAGCTTTCAAAAAAAATGTAAAAATAAAATTTCAACTTACTATAGAAAGTTGCAACCGTTCCTAGAGTGCCACGTTTTAATAAAAAAAAAAGTCCGTTAGAAAACTGAGCTGTGAAATTAAAATGGAAACATGTCTGGTACTAATCTTACCTGATTCTATTTGGAGTTGCTAGTTCATGACCTGCCATCAGACATAGCACTTATAATTATTTTTCATAACATTCTTATATACGTATTTTAACATTACATTCATTTTTACTACTTATTTATCAATAGTAGCATTATTTAAAACAAAAACTAAATTGTTCATAATTCTGTGTTTTTGAGTACTTCAAATTCGTTTGCTTTCTATTAGAATGAGACTATAATATGCTTCGACGCCTTTTATAAAAGTTTCATAGCTCTGATAAAATCAAAATGCTGGTACTCTACATAACACCGGAATTAAGTGAATATGTGAAATATGCGGGTCCTTCGTCAAAGTTTTACGTAATTAAATAAATTATTGGTTTATTTAAATTTATCTAATCTGAATTGGACATCCATTGCATTTAAAACATTAGCCTCAAACTTGATATTTACGGAATAAACCCCCCCCTCCCCACCAAACATCACGTATATTTTCAGTTATGTGATAAAACTGTAATTTTTTTAATTTTTTTTGAAAATAATTGTTTTTTTTAAAGTCAGTTAAAAAATAAATACACGTGATATCTTACTATACCCCTCCCTCCCCCAGGTGATATTTCGTGATTTTTTGTCAGACCTCCTCTCCCACTAAAAACCGCACGTGATTAATTGCCCCCTAAACATATTCAAGAAGTATTTTATTGAACAATTACAATTATTAGGGGAAATACGGACAGTGGACTTTTTTTTTAAATTGACTCGCAATAATGATATATTTGATAAATTTTCATTATTTATTAATTTGTGCTTTACAAAACTTTCAAGCAAAATGTACAAAACAAAATACATAGTGCTATTTCGTAAGCACCACAAGGCAGTTCATTCCTTGCAAAATAAAAAAAAAATTGGAAGCTATCAAAGGTGATTGTTTTTTAACTTTTACTCTAAGTACTTCTTCAAACAGACCAAAGGATCCACCGGTAAAGAAAGGAAAATTCCATTTATGGCAAGGACCTCTTTTCCTTCTCCAAGCCTGGCAAAGGTTGGTATGTTGGTAATGATTTATTATATTGTATTTTAGAATTGTATCGAATAGAACCAAACAATTTATTTGTGAACTGCTTTCGTACAAATTAGCATCTTGGTCTTTACTCTATATGTCATTTTGTCCATACTATATCGACAAAATAATTTTTATAACTAGTTGAATCTTTCCTTGACAAATAAGTTATATAGTTCTTACTTAAAAAAACTATATTATTTGAAGTTAATGAACCAAAGATAAGTAAAAATGATCGAGACTGGTTATAATATCATTGAACAAATAAATATCATTAACTAGTGGGGTGCATGACATCGTGCCTTAAGGCAAAATTGCTGAAACTTTCCGTACTTTAATTAAAAATCTTGGTGCAAAACCCCCAAAAAAATTACACAAAATGTGTACACATTATTAAAATCTCTATAAAATATCTGATAATTTGATGTACATATGCCCAATAAACATTTTTGACCGCCAAGCCAATTGACATTATTTGAACTTAATTTTATTCAGAGTCCATAACCGCTGGACCTGCCTTCCCAAAAATGTAATCAGTTCTTCATCTTGTCAATACAAGTAAAATGTTTTTTGAATTATTCAAATCGGTTGATTGGTGTTCCCAATATAGTTGACGAAAATTTGTATCCGCGCGCATACACACATATAATACACACCATAATATTCAGAAACCTTTGAAACGTGAATATATATAAAGTATGTGTATGGCAAGTTGCTGTAACTTCCCTTACGAGAAAAAATAAATAATAATTAATGGTAGTCTGCCCGAAGGCAGGTCCATGGTATGAGAGCCACCACAAATAAATGATTCCTTTACCCTTCACCCTATTACCACTATTCCCCTTCCCCATATTTTTTTTATTTCATGTATTTTCCTTTCCGACTTCTGCTTCCATGCTTCTCGATCCCTTGCTTCGGCTTTCAGTTCCCTGTATTTTCTCTTCTCGCGTAAGTCGTCAATCGTCTGCATTTTTCTTCTCCCAATTCCTTTCATTCCTTCAATTTTACCCTCGACGACGACATGCAGGAGGCACTCTTTTCGCAGAAGAGTCCGATCCAGTTTGTACGAGGAATATTAAATGTTTTTAAATAGATTATTATAAATAATGTAACGTTCATTATTCTTATTTTATAAAAAGTAAATAAACAAAACTTAATCAATCGGATATAAAATTAAAAACATTGTCTAATATTTCTAAATTTGTCTAAACTGAATTGCAAAGTTAAAATTATTTATTTGAAGTGATGTTTATAACTTTAGCTAGAATTAGAATTAAATTTCAATAACTAAAAAATTTTTTTTTTGAAAATTAAAAAAAAAATATATAAAAAAAATTATTTCCTCAAAAGCAATCGTTTCGTCAACACAAGCAGAAAGTTTTTTAAATCATTCACATCGGATGCTTAGTTCTCAAAAACTGCTATTTTTGGCACATTTAGCTCTATATCTCCGAAACAGCTAGACCTGCCTTTGTCAAAATCTAATCACCACTTTCTACAATTCAATAGTTTCTGGATCATTCAAATCGGTTGATCCATTCTCTTGAAAAATGACATAGAGACATCAATCGTCTGGGATCAGGCATATTAGATTTTGGTATTTGTTAAAATAATTACCATCAAATATTATAAACGTTCTGTATTTGTACACGTTTAAATATAATATTACATAAATTAAAGCATACAAATGCGTTATGTACAATAATACTAATCCTAGATAATATAATATATTTTAAGATATAAAAAACCTTTCGCACTTTTTGGTTTAAAAATATACAATTCTTACAAAAATATACATATCGCGTACCTAAGACAAAAAATATCAATATGAAATGTATAATTTGACTCTGATATTAATAAATTATATTAAAATAATAATAATAATTTAATATAGATGATGATTGTACTTTAAGTCTAAAAGAAATCCAAGCTTTTACATCTCAAAGTATCAATTTTGATTTTAAAGTGATTTAATTATTTTATATAATTATATATAAAGAAACTGTTTTACAATCAGTGAATATTTCCACAAAATTATTAAAACTATATAAATATAATACAAGTCCATCATAGGTATGACTACTTTTGACGAAATATTCATAATTTTGACCAACTACCCTCTTTCATAATTTTGACCATATTATCAAGTTAACCCAAACTTATCTTAAATATGCGATATGTACTTCAATAACTCTTAATAATACTATTTAAAATTAATAAAAATATGCTCTATAAATCATCACACATTCGTACATATATACATGCACATTTACACACGCGCCATAAAATAAATGTGCTTTGAAATTGGAAACAATGTCTAAAATTTTTAATATAAATACCTTAATCACATTCCAAGCATTCCAAATGGTATATAGGTTGTAAAGAACTTCTTACGACGTCTATATGTATATAAATTTACCTTTTCTCTTGTATCTAATTATAAAAAATTTAATTTTGGATCTGAGTAATCGTCATTCATCATGGGCACCACCAAAATAAAAATATTATCATCCTGTACGATTGTCAAACAACTTTAAACTAGTTTCAGAGTGTCAGTTGCAACAATGTTTAAAAAAATTGCAACTTCTGGCATTTAATACAAATGGTTGAATTTAATTTATAAAGTTACTTGCATGCATTTTGTCTTGTCTAAATGCAACACCAGATTCTTCTACTTGTTTCCATTTCAATTTACAAGTTCTGAAGAATTTCCATTCGCACGTACACCGTGATTCGTTATCTTTAGTTACCATTAAGAATTTGACTTGTATAATTAATTTACATATACATTTATTACAGGATAATTTCTATAACTAGTTGAACCTTCCGTAGGGTCGGTCTGGTATTTTCGGTGGCACGTTTGGTACAGGTCGACTGAAATATAAAAATATATGTGTATTAGAAAAAATGAAAATAATGTGTTAAAGGCAAAAAGTAAAACTACTAAAGGGTTCGCCATATAACTGTTTTTTAAAGGTAGCAATGTAGAATTTTTTGACAGTCATTTAAAAGTTAGATAGCCATTTCAATGAAAATATTTTCGATTATTAACCAGGATTGCACTTTCAAATAGAAAAGATTTAGATTGAGAAAATATTCAATAGTTTATATATAGCATTTCAAAAAAAAAAAAAAAAAAAGTTATCTGACGGGCACTATATTATGGACACATTAGAAGTAATGTGTAATGTAATAATTGTAGAAACAGCACAAGTCGAATTTTTTAAAATTAATATTAGTATCTGTAACTAACAAGATTTCGTGATAAAACATCAAAATATATTTATTTAGTGCAAGCTGAATAGTGGTAAGGAAAGTATAGACAAAATGACATGCTGTTTTGTTTTTGAAACAAACTTCTAGAAGCGCGACTAGGGAGTAAATCTGTGAAAATGCAACGGAAGTTGCGTTACGCCCGAAGTATTCGCCATTCGCTCTCGATGAAATCATTTCTATACGGGTCGATTGTGATTAGTCGTCGTGTCCAGTGAATAGAGATCTGTCGTTGTATGCGTATCGATAGCAACAAGAAAATCGGCATAGATAAATAAACATTTTAATTTAATTTAATGAAAAATATTTTACCCTGTTCCTTAAAAATAATAAAACAAATTGAACATTTGTGCCGTGTACTAAACGTAAGATTACTGACTAAGAATTATTTCTATATTATTCGCAGTTTCTATAAATCTTTGAAAATATTTTTATAGGCAAGACAGATATTACAGCTGCTTAAAGAATGAAATTGTATCGCCAGCGAAAAAGAAAAAAAAATACAAGCAGTCAATGAATGTATGTTAATTTTAATTACGTGAAGTTCTTCAATTAGTGATAAGTGAAATTGTAAAAAGCATATTTCTTTAGGCGTTATTTAACAACAATCCACTGTATGAACAAATATTATAGAATTTATTAATCAGCAATTAATTCATTTCTCTAATGAAGATTCAAATCCAAAAGGCTAATTACAATGACAAACCGATCATGTCATATTTGAAGTATGATTTTAATTACATTATTGTTTTCAAATATTATAAATATTTTTATTGCTATTATGAATATATAATTTATAATTTATTAAAATATAAACTAATCGCAATTTGTGCTGTTTCAGAAGTGTCGTAAAAAAATTCAAAAACTTCTATGAACGTGTGAACTCAGGACTTGCAAATATTTTGAAAATACTCATTTATTTGTATAGAATCGCAAATTTACGAAACAAAACTTATGTTCACTATTAGAATCTCTATAAACAAATCAGTGAATTGTATATGGCCAAATAAAAGGCTAAACGATAATCAACACCGAAATATTATTAATTAAATTTTAGTTATGTCAATTTATTTTAACGACATTTGGAATAGTTTTTATTACAGAAGTTTTCCCACCACCCACTCTTATAGGAATATATAACTATCAATTCATAAATTTACAGAGACACATACACAAAAATAGTCAACCAGCACCTCATAAAAATAAATGTATTTGAAAATGAAATTGTGCGAGGAAAGAGTGAAATATTTTTCAAAATAATACATTTATGAAGGATCAATTAGTTCGTTTCATTTTGTTTCATGCAAGGTTAATAAACATATTTTATAAATCATTTCGTGGAAAATTCCATAAAAATTACATCAAGTTTATTTTAATATTCAAGATATATAATATTTACAAATATTAATTACCTGCTTAATTGCTAGACTGAAAATACTTGAAGCTGTCAGCAAAGCACAAAAAAACCAAGCACCAAAATTGATTAAATTAATTAATTAGTAATAACTGATCCAAAACCATTTTATTTCATTATCAGCCCATTTCTTTTACTAGAGTTATATGGTTTAAGAGAAGCTTAAAAAAACTGATGAAAAATTAAAAAAGAAAACGCGGGAAAGAAAGGAATGGATGAATTTTTTTACTAAATAACTAATAATGAATTAACGTAAAAATCAAGTTATTCAAAAGCTTATTTGAAGTAACTAATTAAATATCAAAACAAAAACGTTTTATTTTTGTCGATACTTGTTAAAGCTGGGGAATATTTTTAGAAATAATCATCACAAAAAAACTTAAAAAAAAAAATCATAACTATTAAAAATATGATTTGTTGGTTTGAACTTAGTTTATCAATATAATAAATCAGTATATATATATATATATATATATATATATATATATATATATATATATACATATCCATATATGTATTCACATATATTTTATACACATATAATTTTGAAATTCTTAAAATACTTTCAACACTTACTTACAATGCGTTATATTTAGTTCAATTACTAAATACAACCAATTACTAATAATTCCTTATTGATATTATAGTTTAATATACAATTAATTCAGCACTAAGAAGCTACTGCTAATGTACATGATATTCAGAAGATATCTCTGCCAAAAAAAATAAATGTTATGGTTACAAAATATGTGGCATCTAAATAAAAAAACAGAAATTTGTACAATTGAATAAAAAAAAATTGAAGACAAATTTGATAGAAATATATTCATTTATAATAGAAATATACATCACAAATGGCGAGAATAGCTCAGTCAGTTACATGCCCGACTCACACGCCAGCTATCTTCAGATCGATCCTTGGCAATGACAGAGTTTGAAATGTTAAGTTAAAATGTAATAAAATTTAAAATAGTTGATTTGAAATTAAATAGAATTTGAATTATTAAGTTGAATTTGAATAAAATTAGAATTAAGAAGAAAAGCAAGTTTATGATTTGAAGAATTAGAGAAAAAAATAATGAAGAAATCAGTTAGAGACCAAAAAAAATAGATTAAATTATCAAAAGCACTATTGAGTTTACTTGCAGTAGATGTTACAACTAGCCCCAAACACCACCGCACTTTTTCTAGAAATTGATTAATTGTGAAATAATGAACAACATTTGTGAATATAATTTTATTTGATTTGGTAGAAAAATAGTTACAGCGACCATCCATCTTTATTTTGAAGAAATATAATCAGTGGATTTCATGATATAATAAAAGGATTTCATGATATAAAAAAAAAACTGCCGCAACAAGCCCTTAGCTCCCCTATAGAATAAAAAAATAGAATATTGTAGATGGCTAAATGTTCTAAGTAAGTGACGTCAATAAAGAAACATCACAATGTACATTAAATTTATGATATAGAATATTAAAATTGTCATCGTCATTGTCATTGCCATTGCCATTGCCATTCAATAAATTATTGAAGTTGGTAAAAATCTCATCAAGTGACACAAAAAATGCATCTTATGATGCAGACTAATTCTTGAACAGGGAATGTTATTTAAGAATATTTCAGTTACTCGAAATAATTAAATAAAAAAACTTATTATCAATGAGTAAAAGAAAACATGAAAATTTCAATCGGATAATGGAAGTTACGAATCGTTGAATAGTTTTTTACCGATGACCATAGACCTGTAACCATAACATCTAAAATTCTTTTTGATAAATTGACAAAATATGTATGCTTTATGAATTTGTACGCACATCCAGCACCAAATAACACAATCCGAACAATAACAACAAACTTAATGCATTTATTGATAATAATTTAATAACAACTGCCGAAGGAATATTTTATCTTACGCATATATTCGGAATGTAGGTTTTCTTATGATTTATTGAAAATATTTCCTTTTATTTTAGACATCTTAAACTTTATACTCTTAAATTTTATCTAAAATTTCTTTCTAACCGTGCACTTTTGTAATGAATTGCTTTTTCGTTCATGATAAATAAGCACATATGTATATTGCTTATAACTTTTAAATACTACTAATATTTATAATTATTACAAATGGAATGTTTTAATAGCGAATTTAGTCGTTCAAAAATAAGTAGGCCAGCGATTAGCTTTAGAAATATGTATAAATCGTTATTGTAATTGTCGAATATAAACTCGAAGGGTAGGTCCATTTCTTCATCTATTCAAAAAAAAAAAAAATCAGCAAGGATGTGATCCTAGAACTCAACGTCAAGCCGAAACGAGATAATAGTAATAATCATAACTGTCATAAAAAAATTAGAAAAAAATTATTTAATGTAGTTGAAAATGATGAGCTTTTAGGTGCAAAATAGAGCAATAGTGAAAATGTGACCATTTTTCGGTTATTGTGGTTAATTTTTATTAATTTTATATCATCATTTTAAATATCATTTTTAGGATCACAGTGAAAAATATTTACAAAATTACTCCAAGTTTTCAAACCTTAACACTTTTTGTTGAACTATAAACTTAAAAATTTCGAAATTGCTCAACTTTGAGAGGCCCTTCTTTAAAAAAATGTACCAAAGTTTGCTGGCACGTTTCATTAAAAGTTGGCACTTTTAATCAGAATTGTAGATTGGTAAAATACTTGATAAGTTTATTTTTTAAATTTTAGAGTAAAAAAATAAAAACCTAAAAATAACACAATTACGACTAACGCATTTCGCTCACATTCAGTTCTTGAACTAATCATGAGTAAATGCACTAGAAAAATCATGTTATTTTTAGGTTTTTTATTTAATTTTTTTTTTTCATTATGAAACTATCAAATATTTTACTATTTTACAATCCTGATTAAATACGCCAACTTTTGATGAAGCTTGCCAACACACTTTGTGAACATTTTTTGAATAAGGGTCCTCTGAAAGTTGACCAATTTCGAAAATTTTAAATTCAAGTTTAACAAGACGTTTTAATGTTTCAAATCTTGGGCAATTGTGTCATTAGTTTTGAGTACTTACTTAAAAATTTGAATTAATTATTTTTAAGAATCCAAAGTTTATATAAACAAACATTTTAAAAAATAACTACAATAAACGAAAAATGGTAACAAATTGATCAAAGCATTGGGTCACGTTTAAGAGCTCAAAATATTCAAGCTACATAATTTCTTTTTTTTTTCTTAATAATAATTTCTTTCATTTTTCATTTTTTTCAACACTATCACCTCGCTTCGGTTTGACGTTGAGTACTGAGTCACCTCAAATTATTAGCAAGAACACCTTTGGTATAGCATAAGATCGTATACAAGGAATTTACTAATGTTTAATTACATCATAGATATAGTATCATTTTTTGTATTTTCAACAGAATAATTCGATACATCCTTCAAAAAATATTTTGTTATCTGCTCAATCGCTGGCTCAAAGTCACATATATGTTTTCATTATATTAATTTTGGATTCAAACTGTTACATTGTGATTGACTGTCATCGCAATAAGTGATAATAAAATGAATTTAAAATAGTGCAAAAGAGTTCTTTTTTAGTTATAATTAGGTATATATTAGGAATTATTCAAACACAAAGAAACATTGTTTTAAAAAAAAATTGATTGAGTTGTACTTTGCAATGACGAAGTAGATTTTTATTTAATTTTATGAAAATAAAAAATACATAATTGAAAAATCAAAAAAAAGAAAGATTCCAGAACAATTCAACAAGATTTAAAGGTTGTTATTTTAACCAAACTAGGAATTTGTAAGCTTAGTAACTTAGAAGTCCAAAATTAAAGAAAATTGTTGATATCGATTATTTCAAACTTTTAATTAAATCCAAAAAAATCAAATTTTCAAAATAATTTTTTTAAATTTTCAGTATTTTAAACCGTAATTTACAAGAGAAAAATGCCTGGAGCTTAGATAAATAATTGATTTTAGATCTCGTAAATTTGAAATTCTATAAATCGTTTTTTACTAGTCATTTAAAATCTCTAATTAATTAATTAATTAAAAACTTAAATTTTAAAACCTCGCATTGAACTATGAAATTTAAAAAATACATAATAATAACACAAATGCAAGGTTTAAAATTATCATTATTAGAAGTTCCCGAAAGCTTGAATTTAATTCCATGAAAAAATCAAAACAAGTTTTATGTTTCTGAAATTCTGTCATCGCAAGATCTCTAAAATTCGAAATTCCAAAATTATTCTTCTGCTAAAAAAGAAATTTTTCCATTGGTAAGATTGAAAACAAAAAAGTTATAGGATACAGCATCCCGGATTTAATTAAAAATTAAAGTTATCAATTATAAGCCCAAGTTTAAATTTTAAGCGAATATTAAAGCGATTTGTATGGAATAAACATATTTCATCAATACCAAAATTTGTGTTTTTTCTTCTAAAAAGACACAGAATTTCGGAATTACTAAATCGCAAGGCTATAGAATCAGAAATAAGCGACTTGATAATATGATAAAATTGATAAAATATAATAAATTCCTTATTATAAATCATAAGAATTGTAAATATTGGAGAGGAACTTAAATCTGAGGTATTTTGTATTTATCTGTTAAGTTTCTGATATAAATCAGAATCAAACCAGGTTAATTGCAATTTCTAATCAATAAAATCCCAATGCAACAGTTAACTATAATATATACATTATTTATTAATCAATTTAGTTTTGTTAATTCAACTCAACTACAAACTATTAACAATATTGCTCAACATCAACTAAGCAAAACTACTAAGAGTTTTAGTACGGATTATTTTAGTATAATAACTGCTACTTACTAAATAATTATTAATTTATAAAATATTTGTTAATGAACTTCCAAACTAAATCAGTCCTTAAGGCTAGAAAATATTCATGATCAAATTCAAATTGACTTTAAAATTTTAAGAAGTCTTAATATATGATGATATGGTTTCATAACTCATAATTTTCATTTCTTTTGAGAAGAAACTTTTTTCAAAATTATAACATAATAGTTAGTGTAACGAATTACACTGATAATATATTTAGATTTGATGAGGATAATCATGAATATTATATAAATGAATGCCATTCAAAGTTACAGATGTTTTTAATATCAAAACACAAACTTTTTAAACTTAACTACACATACACTTTGATTTAACTCAAACCTATGAAAAAACTAAAACCTTGATTTCAGATGATATAGATTTTGGAAAAATTGACAGTTCAATTGAATGATGAAATGTAATTAAAATTTATTCAACTACAACTGTATTTTTATAATTAGTACTTTCAAGAAGCAATTTCGTGTTCAAAAGGTTTGTTCGCGGATTTAATAACTTTTAATTATATTGACAATATAATTTTCTAAAATTTATAAAATTAGAGTTAAATCCATATACATCAAAAAACCGTTCTTGATTTCTTGTATCACAATAAAAATTAAAAAAATATATAATTTTTATAAACGTCAAAATTTCCATAATCTATTACAGTGACAAATTCCACAAACATGATGTTGTACATGATGATATTATTACATTTCGAGATATTTTTAATTGATCTCGATTGGATATAAATTTACTTGAATTTGCTGGCAAAGACATTGGACAGCTCGTTCATGGCCGCATTGGTGACAGCCTGGCCAATTTGCTGATTGATTTGCTGCCTCATTGCTCCTGCTGCACCACCAGGAACACGGCTGATACACAAATACCATGGTGATAGGAATTGTTTAAATTTTACAAGGTAAGATAACACGAAACCGAAAGTTGGATACGGTGAATAGATAGAAGATGTATTTGGAACATTTATCATTACTGAATTGTTAAAATTTTAGAAGTAATTTAAATCGTTTTTTCTAATACTTAACTAATTAATAATTTAAACCTGACTTTAATCCTAACGATCACCAGTTTCGTTTGGGCAAATTTTGTCTTAACTAGTAACTCGGTCGAGAATTTAATGTACAGCTAATAATAACAAATTATTAAATTTCCTATATGACATAAACTGGATAGCTGCAAATATTTATGATTATAAAAAGAAAAACAATAATATCAATACAGTACATGAACATCGATTTAACAAAATTAAAATACTTCGACGGTATTTCTTCCTATGAGTCGGCATTGCCTAACATTTTGTACTATAGCAGTTTATTTATTTATGCTGAACGATTTTCACAAATAATTAAAACTAAAATTTAATCAGAAATAAAAACCAAAAAGTACTATAAGAAGAAAACAATAGTGGCAAACCGAAAGTGTTTCTACATGGAACAGACTCAAAACTCATTTCCAATTGATTTAAATCAGATAGTGACAATTTATGCAATGAATTAATTTCACTTAGACAATGCAAAGTATATTTACCACTAAAAAATTTGAATATAAAAAAAATTCTAAAGGAGACAACATATCCCGAATGCCATGGAGCAATTTGATTTTTGAATGTTTCAAAATATATCATACAAAAACTGCACATTGAGTAAATGATTGATAAATGAACAAAAAAGTAGCAGTATCCAAAGTGAAAAGTATCCGGAATGTTATGATAACTGTATCTTCGTGATGCGCATTTATAGCATATGGTTTTATGTTTAAAACGCCTGATCGTATAGCAATTAGATAGACATTTCACAGTTTTTACTACCAAGAAACAAGCATAACATAGCATTGCCATCTTATCGTCTATGTTACCGCATAATTTGTCCATGAATCATTATAAGTGGTAAAATAATTGTAAATTTTGATTTAATTCAAATACCCGCCAAAATTTCCTAATTATTTTTTCTAGCTAATTATAAGCATGTAATGTGTTTAATTTTTTCAGATCCAAAATTGCAGCAGCTACTTGCAGAGTACCACAAATTCTACGTGCCATGTGAGAAAACCTGTGCCATCATTTTTAAATAATTAAAAAAAAAGTTACTTAAGTAACTTCTTACGATATTAAAATTTAATGCACTCTCTTACAACCCCAAAAAACTCGTTTTTTGAAAAGATTGTAACAGTGGTGTTAATCCTTAAGGTAGTTGCCCAAATGAATCAAGCGACCAAGCCGCAATTATTGCTTGGCTAAATTTTGAATATGAAAAAAGTGCATGTTTTAGTATCATGTTATAGAAAACAAATGTAAATATTCAATTGGTTATAAAATTATACAAATAACGATAAATATAAAAGCTCATTTCATATTTGCATTTCACTCTATGAATTTAAGTCACATTCTGTCTAACGAAATTTCATCATTGCTGGAAAACGATGTAAATTTAATGTGAATGTCTTTAGTAACCAGTAGAAAACTATACTTTTTCTATAATTTAACAGCTATTCTTCCCCGATATATAAGTACTATGAATTTATTTTGTAATATTCATTTTCATAATTCATTTTTATTCAATTTATGTCAATAACAAACGCAATTGAAAATGTGAAGCCAGTAATTTCAATTCTTAATACATAGTTGAAATTGGCTATTTTTTATAGAGAGCTTCTTTAATACTTCGCAATTTTTGTTCCATAACAAAATATTATTTTTATATACGAAAAATATTTTATCCAACGCTCGATGTGTTATCTTAATCTATTAGTATATTGAGAAAACAAAATAAATCTTGCCATGCACACACATTATTGTCTCAATGAAACAATCGCAATTCCGCTCATACAATTTTATTGCTTTGTGAAAAAAACAAAATCACTCAAAATTCGACAATTGTAATCGGGCTTCAAAAACTGTCACGTAGCCCTCGGCGGCTTCAATTTCTTTAGCAACCGCTTCAACAATCTGCTGTCGGATTTCTTGTGATATCGTTCGCTATTCTAATACGAAGACTGCCATTGCTTCTTCATTTTACAATCTAAGGGACCGATTCTGCTGCAATGTTATGATAAGTTCATGTTATGAAGAATTTTCCATAGTAATATAGACAAAAGTTATGCGGTTGGTGTTCAGTCAAGCGAATTTCTCAGGTTTTCTCATACAAAACATAACCTAAAAGCCGCACAAATGTCAAAAAAACGATGTTAGATAAGTGTGTGTTTCTGATTCCTCTTAGGTAACATACGAGTGACGTTGCAGTTTATGTTTAAAACGCCGGAATGAACAGCAAATACATGATATTTTGACAGCATTCAGTATGATTCATTTGCATAATGTATGGGGAGTCGTAGCGTAACATAGCTATCCCGTAACATTTCTCTGTTATGCGCAGAATCGGTCCATAAGTGTATATTAACTAACACATTAGAAGAAATTTTCACTTTATTTGTTTTATGTCGATATATCAATACTGAACGAAAAGTTGTGAAGAAACAAACAACACAGACCTTCAAAATAGAAAAGTTGTCTGTATTGCATGTGCAACATATGTTTTCCAATGTATTTTTACCGATAAATAATTAATCTTAAGTCAAAATTGAAAGTTAAATTGCCAACAAATAAAAAAATAGATAGTCTCTGATCTGGAATTTTTCTACATAAGAATCAATTTTTTTTCAATTTCTATCGCATTCTGGCCCTTTTCCGGAGCAACGGATTTCTGCAAAGCTTTTTTGTTGATCTCTCTGTTGTTGTTGATCTCTGTTGAGTATCATCTTGTAGCCTCTAGCAGTAGTTTTCTAACTATACTTCCTATTATCTCTAGATAATTTGCAAACATATCATATGTTACATATGAGATATGTTTGCAAAGTACTGCTAGAAGCTACAAAAAGATGCTCAACGAAAATGAAAAAAGCGTTCAATGTCCTTATCATTTAGGGAAAAAAGGGCCAGAATACTATAAATAAAGTTTTATTTACCCTGCAGAAAAATTCCTAGATCGGAGACCTTGCCGTTTTTTTTTATAAATTGTTCTCCGTATTTTGCAGTTTAATCCCCAATTTTGACTTTTTGACAGCGGTAGAAATACATTGGAAGACATATCACACACCCATACAGCCAGTTTTTTTTATTTTGTGGACCTGCGTAATTGATCTAGAGATTCTAACGAACGCAAAGAAACTAAAGCAACGTCGGCAAATTCTCGCATAAATAGAATACTTTTTTTCAAAAACCAAATTTGCCTCAAACCAAAATGATACAAAGACGTATTTCATCATTTCTTTTAATTTAATTTGAGGTGTATTGAAAAAGGGGGAAGCGGTTTTTCAACTTTAGCTAGGAGTAAACATTTGACTACAGATTTTTTAAATTATTTTTTCCTAGCTCCAAACAGATGTTTGAAGATTCAAGTATATATCATTCTTATTTAGTTTGATTCTGATAGGCCAAAAGATTATGCCAATTTAACAAAATAAATATACAAAATAGAGTATCAAATTGGAGTCCCTTGCAAAAAAAATACAAATGATGCAAAAACTCTTAAAATTTGCTTTGCACTGAAGAGATATGATAAAGCCATAGTCACAGACAAATGATATAACTTTGAGAGGAACATATATAAACTGAGTTGGATAAATAAATATTATTATTATAATAAAAATATAAAAACTTTTTCAACACACCTCGCGCTATAATCATTTTAACACGCTTAACACCTTCATTGAGACAACATATTTCAAAATCAGACTAAATAGATTGAAATATTATTAAATTCACACAGCTTTAGTATAATATATCACAAGTCCATTAATTTAAAATATCATCAAACATATCAAGCAAACGAATCGAAGAAAACAAATTCATAACAAATCAACTTCAATCAGAAAAATCAAATGCAACTTGAAAACAAACCAAAAACGCAAAAGATAAACAACAATCCAAAATACAAACCAATAAGGTAATAAATAATAGCAAACATACATGATACAGCTATATGCTTGTTAATTTGAGACCAACAACAGTCTTGTTCCTAAACAACACCAATCAAATATTTAAACAAATCTGATTAACACTGCATTCACATTCAAGTTGTATACGTTATAAATTTACCAGTTGCTTTATCAGAAATTGATTGGAATTTGCTTAGGACAAATATGTTGAACGCCCCTGGTTTCTGAACAATGGCTGTATGTTATTAAAACTCCACAAAACTAATAAAATTGAAGAAGAAGCAGAAAAAAATGTGATGGAATGTCCAAGAAATTACTAAAAATAATGTCACAACAAAAAATAGAAATAATGAACACAGAGAATTGACTGGATATTTTCAAATTTTAATCATTGTATGTATTAAATATATAATATAGTATGGTGTCTTTATTTAATATACATAGAATTAATTAAATTCACAGACCAATTCATTCAGTCGATTCTCTGTTACATCATTAATAATAAGAAAGTCTTTTCAAAACAAAGAGTCATCAATTTTTGCGAACTTAAAACAATTAAAAATCTCATTTAATTATATTACATATTATATATAGTATTTATTTGCTTAGTTTGTTTGATTTGTTGCTTAAACATATATATTTTGGTTTCAATGTACAACAATATAATTATTTAATTAGTCACATATTTATATAACATATTGATAACGATATTCATTTTTCTGCAATAATATTTTAAAACAATCAAAATGTAATATTAATTTTAAACAAATCCAAATAGATATTATGAAAAATCTTTGAGTTGATTTTTGTACATGTTTACGCAGCATCTCACGAAGATTTTTTCAGGCAGATCATATATTTTATCTTTTAATAAAATATTGTTCAATAGCTAATTTTTCTAATTTACATTTTTGTATAACGA